CTCGCCGCTCGGGAAGAGCCCTAGAGAGCTTCCGCTAAGCTTTTCTTGTCCCAGATGGAGCAAGGAGCGTGTTCTTAAGTGGGTTATTTGGTGGTAGTTGTCAGTTATGCTACGTGACTCAACTTGTTTTCCTGCGGCTTTTTCTCTGTTAAGAGGCTGCTGTGCCAGTCGGGAAACGGGCTTGGGGAGACAGAATCCCAGAATCCCAGCATGGTCGGGGTTGGCAGGGACCTCTGTGGGTCACCCAGCCCAACCCCCTGCCCAAGCAGGGTCACCCAGAGCAGGCTGCACAGCACCGCGTCCAGGCAGGGCCAGACGGAACTTCCTGTGCTTCAGTTTGTGCCCATTGCCCCTTGTCCTGTCTCTGGGCACCACTGAAAAGAGTCTGGCCCCATCCTCCTGATACTCACCCTTCAGATATTTATAAGCATTTATGAAGTCCCCTCTCAGCCTTCTCTCTTTCAGCTTAAACAAGCCCAGCTCCTTCAGCCTTTTCTCATAGGAGAGATGCTCCAGTCCCCTCATCATCCTTGTAGCCCTCCGCTGGACTGTCTCCAGTAGCTCCTCATCTTTCTTGAACTGGGAACCCAGAACTGGATGCAGTACTCCAGATGGGGCTTCACTAGGGCAAAGTAGAGGAAGAGGAAAGCCTTCCTCGACCTGCTGGCCACAGTCCTCTTAGTGCACCCCAGGATCCCATTGGCCTTCTTGGTAGCCAGGGCACACTGCTGGCTCACGGTTAACCTGTCTTTCACCAGCATTCCCAGGTCCCTCTCTAAAGAGCTGCTCTCCAGCCCCAAGCCTGTTCTGGTGCCTGGGGTTGTTCCTCCCCAGGTGCAGGACGCTGCCCTTGCCCTTGTTGAACCTCATCAGGTTCCTCTCTGCCCAACTTTCCAGCCTGTCCAGCTCTTCCCTGCTCTCTTGCTTTTGGGTGGTGGGGTAGAGAGCGACTGTTTGAATTCCGTACTTCTCCCCGTATGAAGACATCTTTGCCTTGGTTGCCCTAAATATGCCAATATTAAACATTATCCTTCGGTGTGGGAGGTTCAATACTGCCCTTCAACACCATCACCTTTTAGTTTTGACCAGATTTGGGGGTTTGTGTCTTTTTACACTTAGGAAACGCTTCGTGTCTTACAGAACTGTGCTCAGATTTACTCTCGTGCCCAGGTCGGAAGCCTCCCCCCCGTTGTCTCCGTGTGTACACCCTCGGGAGCTCCCCGCCGCGGATTGCTGGAGGAGGAGCGTGCGTGGTCTGTGTTCTGCTGGTGTGGATCACTGGGAGTGTGTGACCTCGCTCGTGCTCTGCGGTATTACGGGCTGTGGAGCCTCAACTGGCCAAAGCTGTGGATGTAGGGAAGAGTCGACATTGAGATGCTAGCGCTGATTTCCTTGGCTGGTTCCTGAACAGTCGTCTCCAGGAACGACCCCATCTCTACGGGAACTGCAGGAGCTGGGGATGGGCGTCCCCGCGCTGCCCAGGGCTCGCTTGGCGCGTTTAGCTCGAGGAACTGCTCGTTAGCTGTTGGCTTCCACCGAGTTCTGCGGTTTTCCCACGCAGTTAGTGTTTCAGTGATGTTTTTTCTTCCTGAGAGGGGCAAAGCTAACAAATGCTCCGTTTGTCCCCCCAGGATTTTCCTCGTATAATGGAGGAGGGATGAACGGCACCAGCACTGTTATGGATTTCCTGGAGGAACCTCTTCCTGGTGTGGGGACCTACGAAGATTTTAACACTATCGACTGGGTGCGAGAGAAGTCCAGGGACCGGGACAGGCACAGAGAGGTAAAATTTCTTACTGCTCCTTGCTGGCACTGAAGGCAGAGTAATGAACTTGCTAGAGCTAATCTTAGCTCTGGTTGCTGGAGCAGGGAGGTGCTTCCTGGAGATTCGCCTCGGGTGGAGGGGTTGCCCTTAGGGTGGGAACCGAGAGCCTCGCCGCAGGGCAGGAGAAGTCCGAGGAGAAGGAACGCTGAGTTTATCAATTGCTGCTTCTCTTCTGAAGGCTTTTTTTTAAAAAGCCTTTGTGGATTTCTGATACACATCTTAAACGCCTTACTGGCTCATTTTCTTACGCCACGTTCAAGTCGCTCGACGCTGAAGCATGGCAAGGCCTGGACTCCTCGCGGAAGGTGCAGGCGTTCTCTGGAATGATTACGCTGCTACTGCGTGGTTTGTAATGGAGGAGTCGAGGCACCTGCCATGCTGTTTATCGACAGGGAAGCAGACTGTTCCTCTGCTGAGGCAGTTGCCCTCGTGAGCGATGCTCTTGCTATCGGAATGGTTTTGTGCTGCGTGTTTGAGAAAACCAAGTGCGATTCTGTCAGAATTCATCCCTGGGACTTCACCGCTCTCTGCAGCTAAAGGAATCTGCACAGAAAGCAAGGGGTGCTTTAAAGAAAGAACCGATGTCCCCAGCGTGCTCCTGATTCACCAGAAACCCTTGCTGGCAGAGCTCTGGTAGGGCGATGACTGGACTCAGCTTGTGGATTTGCTTGCCAAAATATTCTTTCATTTCTTTTTTTTGCTGAGCCTCACAGAACAGCTTGTGTCTTCATGGCAGTGCGCAAACTGAACGCGGTCCCCGCGCCATGTGCGGGTACAGACAGTCCAGAGTAGTGCCCGAGCCTGAGCAAGTACAGACCCAGTTCAGGGGCTCCGTGCCCCCGCTGCCGCCTGCACGCAGACCCGAAAGGCGTCACGCGTACGCGCCCACGCGCAGATGGTGCCCGCCAGCGTGGAACAGGGCCGGCTGTTTCCTATCTGCGGAGATGCTGGTGGAAAGGAGTTGAAATCGGGTCAGGGCAGAAGCTGCTGCTGGCCAGAGAGGTGTAGGATTGGTCCAGTGAACAGAAATTGGAAGGAGATGGTTCTGGCACCCACCCCAACCCCTGCTGTGAATCGGTAGCAGTTCTGCTCGTGGTCAGTGCGGCGTTTGAAAGACAAAAATCCAGAGAAAAGAACCCAAACGATGCTCATTCAGGCGGAAGGGATTCTCTCTTTATTCCTCGTTGAGCGAGGGCTGGTTGTTCGCCTCAGTGTGCCTTTTCATCTGGGAATAATGGCGCTGTGCTGGACGGCTTCCCGTGGGAGCGCGGCCGGGCGCGCAGTAGCTGCCCGTCACGC